AACACCACGGGGCGGTCCTCGCAGCGCAGGAAGTTGCGCTCTCTGCCGCAGGGCGAGACAAAGGGGAAGGCGGCCTCGTAGCGCCCGCTGCGATTGGGTCTCAGGCGGGAGAAGAAGGCGACCAGGAACTGTGGGTCTGGGGGAGGAGCGGAGGGCGCGGCCGCTCACCACGCTGGCTGGCCCCGGGCCCCGCTCCCCAGGAGGGCGCCGCACCCTGCCTCACGCCCACTCTCGGGGGTCGGCAGCGGAGCCCGTCCCTGCGCGCGCTGATGGGAGAAGGGACGGGGGAAGGCGGCGTAGCAGTACCTTTGAAGCAGGTGATGAAGTTCTTCGTTTTGGAGTCATCCAGGAAGAGCTGCGGACACAGGGGCAGGCAGTGCCCATGAGTCCCAACGGGCTGAGCCCCGCCTGGGTCTGACCTAGTCGGTGCACCCCGTGTGCCGGGAGGCGCGGGGAAGGGCCGCCCGGGGACCCTGACGCCTCGCCCGCCTCTTCCCCGCACCCCGGGCCGTGCTTCCTCGCAGTTCCGCGGGCTGGTGAGCCTTTCCCGCGCCTTCTCCTGTCTAGTCTCTAGTCAGATACGCCGCCTCCTCCGTGGAGGCCGGCCGGCCCGCTTCCTCCCGGACACGCCGGATGCCCTCAGCGCGGCTTTTAATACAGGCGGGGCAGAGAGCGGCGCTGCAGAGCGCAGCGGGGACGCGGCCAGTGCGGGAGGCCGGCGCTGGGGACGGGTCCCTTGGGCCGAACCAAGCCAGCTCCTCCATTCCCTCCGGCGCGCAGAGCGAGGTGCGCCTCCTGGCAGACACCGCCCCTCGCGGGGTCCCCTCCCCTCTCTCGGGGACCCCTGGCCCCGGCCCACCTGACCCTGATGATCCACGTAGTAGAAGTATTCGCGGGTCCGGGGCTCGGGGCTCTGACCCTGAGTGTAAGAAATAGCCCCGTCCCCGCCGCAGGGCCAGGTTCCCCGCGACCGCGCCAGGGCCACCCGGGTCCGGAGCGTCCCGCACGGCGGCCACATCCTCCTTCCGGGCCGGAAGCGGCCGGCGGGTCACGCGAGGG